CTCACGAAGTTCTTGGGTCGCAAGTCGTGGGAGCCTTGTATGGAAACCGGCATGCGCGAGCGTTGAAATCCTGCAGCAACCTGAAGGCAATCGATGCATGATGCCTCCTGGGAGGCCCCTTGGAGGCCTCTGGGGGTCGTCTGGGAGGCCTGTTGGGCGGTCTTGGGGCCGTCTTGGGCACTCTGGAACAGCTCCTCGGCCGTCTCAGAGGCTGCATGTGCCCTCTTGGTGGGCCCCGTCGGGCGGGGCCAGCCATCCCGGAGGCCCGCGCGACACCCCCTGTAAGAGCGTGCAGGACCGCCCCGGCGGCGCCCATGGGAAACCGGGGAACCTCGGGGGTGGACAGATCCCCCAACAGTGACATGTCGATGATCACCACCCACCAAACCACCCCAACCCAACCCGAAGGCTCAAATTTACCCTCGATTTCCAGTGGGGGGGGGGTTGGGAAACATCGACAAAACACTTGTGGAACCCTTACCCCCCCCAACCCGAAATTCGGGTCTCCGGGTTGGGTTGGGGTGGTCTGGTAGGTAGTCAGATGAGTGAATTGTCCGTTTTCGGTTCTCGAGAGGGCGCCGTGGCCGTTGATTTCCGGGCTTGCGCCCGCCAGGTTGGGGCCTCGGGTCGTTTTCACTAAACCACGTTTTGCTAAAGGGGGGTCTGTCGATCCCCGACAACCCGGGGTCTGGGCTCTTAAAGCACCTTTGAACCCTCGAACCTCTCAGACAACGTGCTGTATAGGCAGGGTGGCGGATGCCCTCGTGCTTGCGATTTTAGAGTGCGGTGGCGTCCATTCGCGTCTGATTATCGACGAGATAGCACCCAAACCGCGTCGATTAGCATCGATTCATCGTCGATTCGCGTCGGTTCGTAAGAGCCAACAAGATGGTATTGGAGGCTCTCACGAGTTGCCACAGCGTAAACATCTACTTTCAGAGCTCCGCGCGGATTTCTTGGATCGGCGTTGGGCCCCCCTCCTTGGAAATCCGCTCGGATCTCCAGAAGTTGTTGTTTATGCAGTTGTTGTCTCCCTCAGAGGTGGCCGGCCTGGAGAGCGAGTTGCGGGCGGACGGGGACGCCGAGAGCAGCATCGGAGGGCGCCAGCTGCATCCAACCCTGAGTTTCTGGCGTCTCATTTTTTGTTTCGAGCAGGGCGGTTTCTGTCCTGTTTCGGGTCCCGGGACTCACGTATCGATCCGGATTGACAATGACGCAGAAAGATAGGGCCTGAGGCTCTGGTTGTTTTTTCACGATGGTGCAATTCTCCCCCCCCACCCCCACACCCCAAGGTAGTCCAATGGCCTCAACAGGCCCCCCCTTGGTAGGCGCAGAGGGGGGTATAGGGGGAGGGGGGGAGGCGCAGGAGGCGCGGCTTGAAGAGGCTGCTGCTTAGAAGGCGCGGGCCGTGCCTGTAGATGTAAGGCCCGCGCCTCTGAGAAGCAGCATCCTTCTAAGAAGCCTTCCACCCTCCCCTACACTCTCGGCTCGCGTGGGCCCCGCCCCAGTGTTCGGTCGGGCATGTCCTCCTGCAGGCGGATTTTGGAAGCTGGGCGAAAAATGAAAGATGAAGCAACAATGTTCAAACATAATTCCCCAATCGGTGCTTGCACTGAAGGGGTCTTGGCGGAAACTGAAGGATGTGGCGAAAGTTTCCCGCTGGTTTTGGTAGCAGGCTGGGTTCCCGGGTTTCCGGTTCCGAGTTCCCGGCTTCCCGGTTGTTGGTTTCGGGCCGATTTCGGTGGGCTCTGAGCTCCGGGGCTCCCGGGTTCCCGGTGGATCTCTTCAGCGAACACCATCCACTGGTTGGGTTTTTTTGTCTGGTGTAATATTTTTTACCTGTTTTTGAATATTCCCCCTGTTTACCAGCCTCGAACGTATCCCTGTCCCTAAGATGGACACGCCCAAAGGCGATGCCAATCTTAGGGATCCGCCCTCAAAAAATAAGGGGATCCCTAAGCTTGGCATCGTGGTGAGGAGGTGCCCCGCATAGGGATAGGGATCTGTTCCAGGCTGGTACTCCAGATTTCGTAATAAAAGGGAGGGGGTCTGGACCCTCCAAGACAAGCCATTTCAGACCTCCCCCGTGGGAGAACCCTCCAAAACATCGTCCCCAGACCCCCCAGGCCCTCCAAGATAGCCTGGAAGAGACCCCCCCCGAAATGAGACCCCCCTCCCTTTATTACGAAATCTGGAGTAACCTGTAGAGGGACACGCCCGACTTAAACCCCGCGGGCCACCGCGCCGGTCGTGCGCGTGCGGCTGGCGCCCCTCCAGTGGCCGCGGCGCCTCCGAGGGCGGCGGATCCTCCGCGGTGTCCAGCGGCGGCCGCTCGGGCGCCGGCCTGCGGTGCGCTCGGGCCCATCGGCCCTCCCCTTCGCTCCTCCTCTCCTCCTCCTCTTCGCTCCTCCTCTCCTCTTCGCTCCTCCTCCTCCTGCTCGTTGCTCCTCCTCCTCCTCCTCCTCCTCCTCCTCCTCGTCCTCCTCCTCCTAGTCCTCCTCCTCCTCCTCCTCCCTCCTTTTCCCCCTCTCCCCTCCTCCTCGCTCCTCCTCCTCCTCCTCGCTCCTCTTCTTCCTTATCCTCCTCCTTCCTCCTCCTCCTAGTCCTCCTCCTCCTTTTCCTCCTTCTCCTCCTCCTCCTCCTCCTCCGCGTCCCTTCCTTCCTGGAAGAGACGCGTGAGACAGACTGCGTCGGTGAAGTTTCGTGAGTGGCCCAGCTTCTATTCTGGGTGCATGCGCTTGCAGTAAGGTTTTGGTACACTTGCAATTCTTCGTACTCAAGCCAAGACTGTTGCTAGGCTTCCAATCCCTTTCCTTGACCTTTGTTCTCTTCCTCCCCCCCCCTCCAGCGCTCCCAGCACACGTGCTTCAATTGGTAATACAACAGCGTTGGGAACACATCGTTCGAGCCTGTGGAATCGAGCTCGCATCATCTCGCTCCTCGGGGAGGTCCCCCGGGTGCCTGGAATCCCGCAGCGGACACCTTGCAGGCATCTATTTATATGTCTTGCACTTTCCTGGCGCACGGAGGGGAGGGGATGGGGAGGAGGAGGGGAACGAGGAGGAGGGGTAGGAGGAGGAGGAAGATGAGGAGGGGTAGGAGGAGGAGGAGGAGGAGGAGGAGGAGGAGGAGGAGGAGGAGGTAGGAGGAGGAGGAGGAGGAGGAGGAGGAGGAGGAGGAGGAGGAGGAGGAGAGGAAGAGGAAGAGGGGGGAGGGACAGAGGATGGGGGGGGAGGAGAAGGGGGAGGAGGAGGAGGAGCGAGGAGGAGGAGGAGGAGGAGGAGGAGGAGGAGGAGGAGAGGAAGAGGAAGAGGGGGGAGGAGACAGAGGAGGGGGGTGGAGAAGGAGAGGGAGGAGGAGGAGGAGGAGCGAGGTGGAGGATGAAGAGAAGGAGGAGGAGGAGGAGGAGGAGGAGGAAGAAGAAGAGGAGGAGGAGACGGAGGACGAGGAGGAACGAGGAGGAGGAGGAGCGAGGAGGAAGAGGAGGAGGAGGCGGAGGAGGAGGACGGTCCGTAGCCATTTTGGCTCGAACCGTTTTGGCTCAAGGAGGAGGCGGCTCGAGAGTTTTGGCCAGTGACATGCCCTCTTTCGCCCTTCCGCGGCGGCGCCTAGGCGAGGCGTCGGCCATACGACGGGGGTCGCCCACGACCCGCAACCACAAGAGCCACAGCCGCCAGCAAGGAGATGGGCTACAAGATCACCGACCGCGCCCCAGCGCGAGACCGTTGCGTGCTGCAGCGCGGCGGACCGCCTGCACGGCCTGGAGACACTTGCCAGTGCGCACATGCGACGCAGCCATGATGGTCGCGACCATCAGCCAGCAGCACGACCATTGGCACGACATCGCGTACCAGCACCCGCGCCGACGCCAACAGGTACCTGCGCCAACTGGAGGCGCACATGCAGCCCCAGACGTCTAGACCAAGCGTGCATTACCAAGCCCCAAGGGTAGCCCAATACGGCCTCAACAGGGGCAGGAGGCTCCAGGATGGCCCAAGACGGCCCTACAGCGGAACAGGCAGAATCTCTGAAGCGCCTTGCCAGCAGCAGGTAGACGGCGGCGAAAAGCCGGCGGGGTGCGGTGCGAAAGTTGGCGGTGCGCCAACGGGCCATCGGAGCCCTGGCCGTGCCACCCGGCTACTGGGCAGCCGACCCCAGTGCCCGATGCCGCGGCGGTGGTGCGTCAGGAGGGGAAAATACACAGACACAATGAATAGTCGATTCCCGCGAAAATATGGGAAACTATGGGAAGTGAGGGGGAAGACAAAAACCCAGAAACTATGGGAAAATGTTGGGAATCGTTTTTTGCTGTGTGTGTGTGTGTGTGTTTACTTGTGTGTCCCAGGGCCCCTTCAGCGGGGCTCCCCGCCTGCCGCCCGTCACCCACAGCGTGCCCCGACGACGCCCACCCCCACGAGCCTCTTATCTCTAGGTCTCCCTAGATGGGGTCGGAGCAGATGGGGCTGAGGATCCGAGTTGCTTCACGCCGATGCATCGCCGATGCATCAATGATGTATCGGCGATGCGGCGCGATCCTGCGGCCCCATCTGCTCCCACCGCATCTGGGAGGCCGCTACTCTGGCCCACGGCCCTCACGACGGACTCCAGGACACCTCAAGCCGCGCCCCGCGTGGCCGCATTCCCTGAGATGGAGCCCAGGGGGGGGGGGGCAGATTCAGAGAAGCGGCCGCAGTGTGCCGCTGGAGAGCCCACGGCCAGCGCCCGCTTTCCCCGCGGCCGCCTCGACATCCCGAGTGGCCGCACGACCTGAGAGGGAGCCCGCGGGGGGCATGGCCTTTGAAGCGGTCATAGGGGGCCGAAGGCACCCCCTGGAGCCCCATACCTGACCCGACTACCCCACGACCCCCCCGCCCCCGACCCGAACGCCCCTACGACCCACCACCGAACCCCCGCAACCCCGCGACGACCCCCGCTGCCAGCTCGGCATCCCGACCGCCCGCACGCCCTGAGGGGGAGCCCGAGGGTGGCACACCCGGAGAAGCGGCCATGGGGACAGCCGAAGACGCCCCCTTTGAGCCTCACGCCGACCCCCCCGACTCCCCGCGACCCCCCCTTCCGACCCGAACGCCCCCGCGACCCGCCGCCAGTTCGCCGCCCCACGACGGCTACGCGGCCCCCACGACGCTCCCCCGTCGCGGCCTCCACGACCGCCTCCGCGACAGACCCCACGACGGCACCCCGCGGCGGCCCCCGCGGCGGCCCCCTACAGCGGACCCCGCCGCGACGGCGACGAAGACGGCGCCCGCCACGACAGCGACCATGACCACGACGAGCCCCTCTTCCCCCGCCGACGCCGACCCCAGCGCACGCCTGGACGGGCGCGAGGCCGGACCGACCGACGGCCCAACCGAAGCCCCCCCGACGCACTTCTCGACGCTTTCCCCGATGCCCAGACCGACGCCCCCTCCCTCCTCCCTCCTCCCTCCTCCCTCCTCCCTCCGCCCTCCTCCTCCCTCCTCTCCTCCTCCCTCCCTCCCTCCTCCTCCTCCCTCCTCCTCCTCCTCCTCCTCCTCCTCCTCCTCCTCCTCCTCCTCCTCCTCCTCCTCCTCCTCCTCCTCCTCCTCCTCCTCCTCCTCCTCTCGACGACGCTCCCTCCCCCGCGACCCCTCGCCCCGACGGCCCCGCGACGACCCCCCACCACCGAGCCGGCAGCGAACCCCCAACCGGCGACACCCACAGTGCTCACCTGCGACCGCCCCACGCCCTCCTTAAAACGACGCGAAGATAGGGACAAAATCGGATCGGGATGACTCGAAATCTCTGAGAATCGGCGGGTTTGGAGGATGTATTGGGCGCCGCGGCCGCTCCAGAGCGTTCCGGAACGCTCTGAGAGCGCTCCGGAACGCTCTGGAGCGATTCATCCCGATCCTAGCCCTGTTTTACTCATGCGTTGCCTCGCCACGACAACCCGACACCATGCCCGACGTCCCACCCGACGCCCTGCCCCACGCCCAGCCCGCGCCACCCCCGCCCTCTCCCCCGACACGCCTCGCCATATACGGCCTTCCCACGCCCGGCTCCCGACTGGACCTGTGGGGAGTACGCGGGCAGCGCTGTCCACACGGCCGGCCGGACGGGCCACAGGACGCCCTTCCGACCCACCGCGAGCCTGCCCCGACGCTGCCGACCACGACATCGACAGCGACGACCCGACGTCCCTCGCAACGACGACGCGCTTCCCCACCACGGCGCCCCTCC